GGAGAAGGCACTCTGCCCTTTTCCGGCTCGAGACCATGGCCTCGGATTTGGAGACACTGAGCCTCATCCTGGCCGCTTCGCCGCTTCACACCATGGATGGATGGATGGATGGATGGATGGATGGATGGATGGATGGATGGATGGATGGATGGATGGATGGATGGATGGATGGATGGATGGATTATGACTTTAATCTCATAATATTACGACTTTAATCTCGTAATAATAATAATAATAATAATAAAAACTCGTAATGTGGCCCTAATACTCCGTCGTACTAATGCTCAAAAAAGTGCATCAAAGAAATTTTTTTAGGATAACAATTAAGACTGTTCATTGAAATTTTACTTTGATAACATTTATTTGTTATATTTAGACAAAATGTAATTTTTACAAGCGTTTTAATCAAAACACTATAACTGCCTTTTTCTCCACAGACAACTCTTAGACTTAATCCTCGTTTTGATGTGATAGGTCACATATGTGGTTTATTGCACTGCATTTGATCATTTAATGATTTTTAACTGTTAAAATGTGGATGTTGCCATATGGTAACACTGTATTATTAAAATTACCATTCTATAACACAAAATGTTGAAGGCACTCACTGATCTTCTAGAATCTGCTATAAGAATGCATTTTGTGAATCCTTTCCATATTACATGTTTGACACTCTTTTCTTCCATTTACAAAATGAATGCATCAATGTTTTATAGTTTCTTATGGAAGAACACCAAACGAGAGCTTCCTCCTATAGATGGTGGTGAGGATGAATTAGGATTTAGTGATGAATAAAATGAGTAGCTTGCAACCCAGCAAGGAGAGAGTGAGGATGATGGAGACTATGAGGCAGAGAATGAAGACATTGGGACAGTGGAGACAGTGAGGAACGGTGGGGACGGGGGGGACAGTGATGGCGAAAGTGCAACTATTATTTATGTGTTGAATTAAACTGGCTGGTTTATAACATACTAATACTATAGCTGTGAAGAGGAACAGAGTGACCACTGCACCAGTTCCACCAGCAGCTGTGCATTGGGACAGCACTGGTCACTGGCCTGCTGGCATGGCAAATAGAGGCCGGTGCAAATCCCCAGACTGTGCGGGTGCCTCACAGCTAACAGCTTCATCAGTTTACACAAGCAGTAAGGCAAACACGCCAATCAAGACACTCAGATCAAATTAAAATAATTATTCAAATAAAAAATCCCAATGAAATGTTGAAAATATATATTTTAAATGATTTTTAACTTTCAAATGAGTTGCATTGTTAACTGATAATGCTGCTAGGGACTTTTAGGACTATAACTTCAGTTGTTAAATAAAGCATTTTACAATAATAAAAGAAAGTATTCTTTTCAATATTTTCCACCATTATACAGTGTTGTTGTAAGGGAACATCAAGAAAAATTAACTAAATACACACACGCACGCACGCACGCACACACACACATATTAGGTGTGCAACGATACAGAAAATTCAAGGTTCGGTTCGATACTTTAGTCTCACGGTTCGACATTTTTTCGATACAAAAAAGAGAAATTTCCATGCCCTTTTTAACTTTTGTTTATATTATTTATGAGCATTTGTTTAACCTCAAAAGTACAGTTTTTTTAATTAAATGTTGCAAGTTTCTCAGTGGTTATGCTCTCAAAAATGCAGCCTAGGTGGAGTAGTCGAACACAGATCCACTGATACTTCAACACAGAGCATCTTCAGAAGACAAGTTGATAAAGTAAATTTTAAAAATCTGTATTGTTCCATACAGCACTGTTCAATACGATTCGATACGGTTCGGTACAGTTCAATACGGGTACATGTATTGTTGCACCCCTAATATACTGTGTGTGTGTGTGTGTGTGTGTGTGTGTGTGTGTGTGTGTGTGTGTGTGTGTGTGTGTGTGTGTGTGTGTGTG